TATTTGCAAGTCAATAAATGTGATACACCACATAAATAAAATGAAAGGTAAAGATCTTATGATCTTATCAATAGATGCTGAAAAGTATGTGACAAAATCCAGCACACATTTTTTATAAAAACCCTCAGCAATCTGGGAATAGAGGGATCATATCTCGACATACTAAAGGCCATATATTAAAGACCTATAGCCAACATCATACTCAATGGGAATAAACTACAAGCATTTCCCTTAAGAACAGGAACAAGATAAGGATGCCCACTTTCACCACATTTATTTAATATAGTACTGGAAGTCTTAGCCACAGCAATCAGACAGGAAGAAAAACTAAAAGGGATCCAAATTGGAAAGTGAAACTGTCATTATTTGCAGATGACATAATACTATACATAGAAAAACCCAAAGACTCCATCAAAAATTTACTAGACTTAATATATGAATTTGGCAAAGTAGCAGGATACAAAATTAACATCAAGAAATTGATGGCATTTTTAAACACTAATGATGAACTCACAGAAAGAGAAACTAAAAAAAAAAATCCCATTTACCATTGCAGCAAAAAAATTAAGATACCTAGGAATAAACTTAACCAAAGAAATAAAGGACCTATTTGCAGAATACTACAGGTCATTGCAAAAAGAAATGAAGGAAGATATATAAAAGTGGAAGCACATACCTTGTTCGTGGATTAGAAGAAGTAACATCATTATAATGTCTATACTATCCAAAGCAATCTATAGATTTAATGCAATCCCCATCAAAATACCAATGACATACTTGACAGAACTAGAACAAATACTTCAAATGTTCATATGGAACCAAGAAAGATTCCAAATAGCCACAGAAACCTTGAAAAAGAGAAACAAAGTTGGAGGAATCACATTACCCCATTTCAGGTTATACTACAAAGCCACTGTAATCCGAGCAGCCTGGTACTGTCACAAGAACAGGCAGATAGATCAATGGAACAGAATAGAGAACCCAGAAATGGACCCAAGACAATATGCTCAATTAATATTTGACAAAGGGGGCAAAAGCATACAGTGGAGTAAAGACAGCCTCTTTAATAAATGGTGTTGGGAAAATTGAACAGCTACATGCAAAAAAAAAAGAAACTAGACCATCAACTTAAACCATACACAAGAATAAACTCAAAATGGATAAAACACTTATATGTGACTCATGAATCAATAAAAATCCTAGAAGAAAATGTAGGCAACAATATTTCAGACATCATATGCAGCAGAATTTTCACTGATACATCACCTAAGGCAACAGAGACAAAGGAGAAAATGAACACATGGGACTACATCAAACTAAAAAGTTTCTTCACAGCAAAAGAAACAACCACTAAAATGGAAAGGCAACCCACTGTATGGGAGAGCATAATTGCCAATGATACATTAGATAAGTGGGTTTTTTTTTCTTTAAATCTTGTCTGCTGGATTTTCATTTGCCTATTTTATAATTTTTTATTCAGTTCCCATTTCTTAACATCAGCTGGTCCATACTAGTACAAGGACATTTATCTTATTTTCTATGTTCATTGGTTGTGCCTATATGCACGTAAGTTCTTTGGTTTATCTCTTCCTGCACCCCTCTCCCCTTCCTTCTGAGGTTCATCCCTGTCTCCTACTTCCATGTCTCTGGCTCTATTTTGTTCATCAGTATCTTATTTTTTTTTATCCTCACCTGAGGACATTTTTTTTTTTTTTCCATTTTTGTTCGGTAGAGTGGGAGGGAGAGAGAGGAAGAGAGAGAGAGAAACATCGATGTGAAAGGGACACATCGAGTGGCTGCCACCCGCACAACCAACCAGGGCGGGGACAATCTGCAACCAAGGTACATGCCCTTAGCGGGAACTGAACCCCGGTCTCTCTGGACCGCAGGCCGATGCTCTAACCACAGGGCTTATTGATTTATTTTTATGGGTGTGATTGGCACTCAGCATTCATTCCTGTCTATTGTGGTTTCTGTACCACAGAGGAAAGAAAATTTAAAACTACAACATATAGACTCCCTTGTAGCTGAGATTTTGAAAATAAATTGAGTTCCACCAATAATAAAAATACCTGAAATCTGGGGCATCTGGATGTGCTAGCAGTTCACTTGCTGAAGATGGTCATGCACATGTGGAATTTTCTGCAACAGATTTCACTATTATGAATTGTACTAAAAGCAGTGGTGGCAGGAGGGGCAGTCAGACTTCAGTCCTGTTCAGTCACTAGCCTCAGGGCAGGGACAGACAGCAGGGGAGGTCCGGTGACAGATCCCTGGTCATCCAGCTTTCCTGCTGCAGGGGGTCCTGAACCTCAGTAATTCTAAGGGTGCTTTTATGTTTCTCACCTTCCTGGAGTGGCATCTCTCAGAGTCACATCTGTGTTTTTGTAGTTACTCCCACATCCCTTCTAATAATTTTGTAAGCATCTTATTTTATTCCCTGTTATTAAGGCCTTTTTTCTTAAATCCCTACAGTGGTTTCTGTTTTCTGTGCTGAACCCTGACTAACTTATTTTCTTATCAAGACAGGCTTAATGCTTCCTTCAGCTTAACCAAACCCTAGCCAGGCTTCTTCTTGACTCCAGGCCCCTGACCTCCCTTTCTGTAGAGCATTTACTTTAGAAAACTTAGTATTTTAATTTCTTCCTCTGTCCCTTTGAGATGTAAGCCTTCTTGCCATCTCTTGGCAATTAAAAAACCCCAAAATGTTTTTCTCAAAGAAGCGGGAGCCATCCCTTTGAAGTGTAATCGTAGGAAGTAGTGCCTCCCTCTTCCTGCTTCTGTGGGAGGTAGAAGCCTAATGTCAAGTGACAATTAGCAAACACAGAAGCTCTAAGTCACATTGACCAACTCGCCCCCACTTTTCCACTAGTTCACCCTAGGATTTAAATATCCCCCCACCTACCTTGGGTTCAGTGCAGTTGATTCAGTCTGTCTCCCCTATTTCACTAGCCTCTCTCTCTTAATATAATACTCTTGAATAATGTCTTTCTTGTCTTTTATAATGTCTGGTGATTTGGCCCTGGCTGGTTTTGCTCAGTGGTTAGAGCGTGGGCTGGGGACCAGAGAGGCCCGGGTTCAGTTCCTGCTAAGGGCACGTACCTCGGCTGTGGTTTGTCCCCACCCTGGTTGGGGTTGTGTGGATGGCAGCCACTCAATGTGTCTCTCTCACATCAATGTTTCTCTCTCTCTTTTCCTCCCTCTCTACTTTCCACTCTATCTGAAGATAAATGCAAAAATGTCCTCAAATGAGGATAAAAATAAATAAATGTCTGGTGATTTTTTTCTTTTGCAGTTCTGATTTTATGGTTTAAGTTTTATAATGTTCTTTATAGAATTAGAAGCAAGAGGAAAACTGCATTATTATATTTAATTGTTTAAAATTTATTGTAAAATATTATATTCAATCAAAATATAGACAATTAATGTAATTTTATATAAAATAATATAATGAGCCTCTGTGTATGTTCCATTTGCCTCAAAGAATAAAATATTAGCAATAATGACAGGCTCCTCTGTATTCTTCCCTGAGCACATTATTATCCCCACCCACTGCGTTAACTATTCTGAATTTTATATTCAAAAATTTCATACATATAGAATTTTATTATATATGTGTATCTCTAAGTGATATAATTAAATTTGTATGTATTGTGACTTTTATAAGAACACTTAAAAATGTTTTTTCATGGAATATGCTTTTATATTCAACAATATTATGTTTGTGACATTCAACCATGTTAATGACTGGCTGCCGTGACTTTTTATTAGCCCTACACAACTGTTTCTTCTGGGACACCTTTTATAGTCTTCACAGCAGAAATAGGTACAGAATCGGGTGAACATATGAAAGAACACTACAAAGTGGAAAGAGTCTTGGACAGGGATTTGGCTAATTCAGTCTTTTGGCAGATGCTTCTAAGTTTGATTTGATTCTGTCAAGTATTTTAAACCTGTTCTGCATTTTTCTGCTTATAATGCATTATTGCATTTAATCATTTCTAAGCATCTCAGAATACTTATTTAATTGTTCTATTTAGTTTATCAAGGAAGAATGGTGAGAATATATTGCTAAGTAGGAACAAGACTAAGACTGTGATTCCCCTTCACCAGAGTTCAGATTAAATGCTACTCCATAATACATATATAAAAGTTGCAATTATAATACACGTAAGTAGTAAGTAAGTAGTGACAACTAATTGTCTTTATTGTCCCTATGTACAATGGTATATTTAGGTATATTCAGGTTAACATGTTCTTAAGCCTATTAAGATTCATTATGAATGGTTGCTTATAATGTATATGTAGTAAACCATTGCTCATATATTCTCTTGTGGATAGCTTAGCAATGCTGTTTGCTATGTTGATGAAGAAATACTGACAAAAGCCAAAGGATGCATATACAGTGTTTTAGTATGGAGAATTAGATCATGATGCTTAGAGAATTTTTACAGCCAATACAGCTAAACCTAGAAATAATATTCATAGTCAATAGAACCACAGCTTAAGAAATACACTACAAGTATAACAAAAAAATATTTTCTATCTAGAAACTATAGTGATAGCTTTTGTTTGAATTTAAGAATCATATTAAAGAAGTATGTTGTGTGTTTATTCCATTGCTCTCTATGTATTTATTGCAAGGTAAAATATTTGAAGACATCTGAATGGGTAATGTAGAAGGGCACCATAGGTACAAGCTGAAACTTTATTTCACATACGCTTACTTTCATTTCGGCATAACTGTGTGACTCCAGGGCAAACAATTTATCTTCTCTAAGTTTAATTTTCTCCTCTATTAAATAGAGATAGTAATAATAGCTACCAGATAGAATGATTATGAAGATAAACTGTGACAATTTGTATAAAAGACCTAGCACGATTATAACAAATAGTAAGAGTATATCAATATACACACAAAGATATACAAATACATGTATAAACTATCATTATTGTTATTATTAAAAATTAAATTTCTGCTTTGTGATTGTCTTTAATAGGGTGGGCAGGACATCACCGTGAGAAGGGCCTTGATGAGTGCATTCCCAACTCATGTGTTCATGAAATATGCAGAGAAAATGAACCTGGCTTTGACTCAGCATGTGTATGCAGGCCCGGATTTGTGGTAAAATTATTATTGTTTTTGGTTGTGAAACTTTTACATTGCCTCTGAAATACTGTAAGTAATAGAATACTGTACAGTAAAAGATCAAGTTGGACAGGTTAACTCAGTGCTCTTCTCCTTCTCCATCTGTACCTACTACACTCTCTCAGCCATCCCCATCCTCCTTGTCCACCCATCGCACACACCCTCCTCAAGAGAAAAGCGGTCTCATAAATTGATCCAAACTAAGGTGCAAGTGACTTAATGTATTGTTATTTAATGTATTGTTATTTAATGTTTAATGCATTTGGAAGGAGGATGCCACTAGAGGAATTATTAATATTGTCAGGGTCTTGGCAGAGCCTGTATTTTGCCCAAGAACATAGCACTGTTTCTGGTGTTAGACTCAGAGAATTGTGTGTTCAAAAGAATGCATCTGCTTCCTTGTCAAATTCTGACTGGTCTGCACTCCAAGAACATTAGAAATATCTCTACTCGCCCTGGCCAGTTTGGCTCAGCGGTTAGAGCATTGGCCTGCGGTCCAGAGAGACCCGGGTTCAGTGCCTGCTGGGGGCATGTACCTCAGTTGCAGTTTGTCCCCGACCCTGGTTGGGTTGTGTGAGTGGCAGCCACTCGATGTGTCCCTTTCACGTCGATGTTTCTCTCTCTCTCTCTCTGTTCCTCTCTCTCCCTCCCACTCTACCTGAACAAAGAATGGAAAAATGTCCTCGGGTGAGGATAATAAAAAAAAGAAAAGAAATATCTCTACTGAACCACAAGTCTTTTTTTTTTTTTTAATGAATTTTTATTTATTTTTTTGTTACAGATATTTTACCTTTTTATCCCATTAGCAGCCCCCACCCCACACCCCCTCCACCCCGTCCCCAGCTTAGTTGTCCATGTCCATTGGTCATGCATACATGCATATAAGTTCTGTGGTTTATCTCTTCCCACCCCCCCACCCCCCCATCCCCTCTTCTGAGGGATGTCAGTCTGTGCCCTACTTCCATGTGTCTGGGTCTACTGTATTCCACAGACTGTTATGTTCATTATATTCCGTATATAAGTGAGATCATGTGGTATTTGTCTTTTTCTGCTTGGCTTCTTTCACTTAGGATAATACTTTCCAGGTCCCTCCATGACGTCTCAAAGGATAAGAGATCTTTCTTTCTTACCGCTGCATAGTACTCCATTGTGTATATGTACCACAGCTTTTTTATCCATTCGTCTACTGGTGGACACTTGGGCTGTTTCCAGATCTTAGCTATTGTAAATAGTGCTGCTATGAACATGGGGGTACATATATTCTTCCTGATTGGTGTTTCAGGCTTCTTAGGGTATATTCCCAGCAGTGGGATCACTGGGTCAAATGGAAGTTCAATTTTTAATTTTTTGAGGTAGCACCATATTGTTTTCCATAGCGGCTGCACCAGTCTGCATTCCCACCAGCAGTGTATTAGAGTCCCCTTTTCGCCACACCCTCGCCAACACTTGTTGTTTGATGATTTGTTGATGGCGGCCATTCTGACAGGTGTGAGGTGATACCTCATTGTTGTTTTAATTTGCATCTCTCTGATGATTAGTGATGTTGAGCATTTCTTCATATGTCTCTTGGCCATTTGTATGTCCTGTTTGGAGAGGTGTCTATTCAGCTCCTCTGCCCATTTTTTAATTGGGTTCTTTGTCTTCCTTTTGTGGAGTTGTATGAGCACTCTATATATATTGGAAATTAACCCCTTATCTGATACATCATTGGCAATGATGTTCTCCCATACAGTGGGTTGCCTTTCCATTTTGATGATTGTTTCTATTGCTGTGCAGAAGCTTTTGAGTTTGATGTAGTCCCATGTGTTCATTTTCTCCTTTATTTCTGTTGCCTTAGGTGATGTATCAGTGAAAATTCTGCTGCTTATGATGTCCGAAATTTTGTTGCCTACATTTTCTTCTAGAATTTTTATGGATTCACGGGTCACATTTAAGTCTTTTATCCATTTTGAGTTTATTTTGGTGTATGGTGTAAGTTGATGATCTAGTTTCATTTTTTTGCATGTAGCTGTCCAATTTTCCCAACACCATTTATTAAAGAGGCTGTCTTTACTCCACTGTATGCTCTTGCCACCTTTGTCAAATATTAATTGAGCGTATTGCCTTGGGTCCATTTCTGGGTTTTCAGTTCTGTTCCACTGGTCTATATGCCTGTTCTTGTGCCAGTACCAGGCTGTTTTGGTTACAGTCGCTTTGTAGTATAACCTGATATCTGGTATTGTGATCCCACCTACTTTGTTCTTCTTTTTCAAGATTGCTGTGGCTATTCGGGGTCTTTTTTGGTTCCATATGAACTTTTGAAGTACTTTTTCTAGTTCTATGAAATATGTTGTTGGTATTTTGATGGGGATTGCATTGAATCTATAGATTGCTTTGGGTAGTATGGACATTTTAATGATGTTAATTCTTCCAATCCATGAACAGGGTATGTGCTTCCACTTTTTTATATCTTCCTCTATTTCTTTTTTCAATGACCTGTAGTTTTCTGCAAATAGGTCCTTTACTTCTTTGGTTAAGTTTATTCCTAGGTATCGTAATTTTTTTGGCGCAATGGTAAATGGGATTGTTTTTTCAGTTTCTCTTTCTGTGAGTTCATCATTGATGTACAAGAATGCCGTCGATTTCTTGACGTTAATTTTGTATCCTGCTACTTTGTCAAATTCATTTATTAAGTCTAATAGATTTTTGATGGAGTCTTTAGGGTTTTCTATGTACAATATCATGTCATCTGCAAATAATGACAGTTTCACTTCCTCCTTTCCAATTTGGATCCCTTTTATTTTTTCTTCCTGTCTGATTGCTGTGGCTAAGACTTCAAGTACAATGTTAAATAAGAGTGGCGAAAGTGGACATCCCTGTCTTGTTCCTGTTCTTAATGGAAATGTTTTTAGTTTCTGTCCATTGAGTATGATGTTGGCTGTAGGTCTTTCATATATGGCCTTTATTATGTCGAGATATGGTCCCTCTATTCCTACATTGCTGAGCGTTTTTATCAGAAATGGATGCTGAATTTTGTCAAATGCTTTTTCAGCATCTATTGATATGATCATGTGGTTTTTATTCTTCATTTTGTTTATGTGGTGTATCACGTTTATTGATTTGCGAATATTGTACCAGCCTTGCATCCCTGGAATGAATCCCACTTGGTCATGGTGAATAATTTTTTTTGATGTTTTCTGGATCCGATTTGCTAATATTTTGTTCAGGATTTTGGCGTCTATGTTCATCAGGGATATTGGCCTATAGTTTTCTTTCTTCGTAGTGTCTTTTTCTGGTTTTGGAATTAGAATTATGCTGGCCTCATAGAACGTGTTTGGAAGTCTTCCTTCTTCTTGAATTTTTTGAAATAGTTTGAGGAGAATGGGTGTTAGTTCTTTTTTGAATGTTCGGTAAAACTCCCCCGTGAAACCATCTGGGCCTGGGCTTTTGTTTGCTGGGAGAGTCTTGATTACCTCTTCAATTTCCTTAGTTGTTATTGGTCTGTTCAAGTTTTTTATCTCTTCCGGGAGTAGTTTTGGGAGACTGTGTGTTTCTAGAAATTTGTCCATTTCGCTTAGATTGTCGAATTTGTTGCCATATAGTTGTTCATAGTAGTTGTTAACGATCTTTTGTATTTCCGTGGTGTTGGTTGTTACTTCTCCTCTTTCATTTCTGATTTTGTGTATTCGAGTTCTCTCTCTTTGTTTCTTGGTGTGTCTAGCTAAGGGTCCATCAGTTTTGTTTATCTTTTCGAAAAACCAGCTCTTTGTTTCATTGACCCTTTGAATTGTTTTTTTGGTCTCTATGTCATTTATTTCTGCTCTGATCTTTACTATTTCCTTCCTTCTACTTGCTCTGGGGTTTTCTTTTTGTTTGCTTTCTAATTCTTTAAGTTGTGAGGTTAGACAGTCAATTAGAAATTTTTCTTGTTTTTTGAGGTAGGACTGTAGTGCTATGAACTTTCCTCTCAGAACTGCTTTCGCTGCATCCCATAGATTTTGTGTTGTTGTGTGTTGATTGTCATTGGTTTCCAGGAAGTTTTTAATTTCTTCCTTGATCTCCTGGGTGACCCATTCATTGTTTAATAACATGCTATTTAGCCTCCATGTGTTGAAATGTCTTTGCATGTTCTTGTTGCAATTGATTTCTAGTTTCATGCCATTGTGATCTGAGAAGATGCTTGATATGATTTCAATCTTCTTGAACTTGTAGAGATTTAGTTTGTGTCCTATCATGTGGTCTATCTTTGAGAATGTCCCATGTGCACTTGAGAAGAATGTGTATTCTGTAGTTTTGGGGTGTCATTCTCTGTAGATATCTATTAAATCCATTTGGTCTAGTGCTTCATTTAGAGTCTCTGTTTCCTTGCTAATTTTTTGCCTAGAGGATCTATCCAGTGCTGTCAACGGGGTGTTGAAGTCCCCTGCTATGATTGTGTTGTTGTCGATTTCTCCTTGGAAGTCCTCCAGAAGATTTTTAATATATTTTGGTGCTCCTCTATTGGGTGCATATATGTTTATCAAGGTTATATCTTCCTGTTGGATAGATCCTTTCAATATTATGTAGTGGCCATCTTTGTCTCTAGTTATGGTCTTCATTTTGAAATCTATTTTATCAGATATGAGAATTGCTACCCCAACTTTTTTTTGCTTTCCATTTGCTTGGAAAATTTTTTTCCATCCCTTCACTTTCAACCTATGTGAGTCTTTTGTTGAGAGGGGGGTCTCTTGTAAACAACATATAGATGAGTCATGCTTTCTTATCCAATCAGCTACTCTGTGTCTCTTTATGGGAGCATTCAATCCATTTACGTTTAAGGTGATTATTGATATGTACTTATTTATTGCCATTTTTGTTTAGTGTGTGAACCACAAGTCTTTTGACCACAATTCTTTATTAGAGCTGACGATAGCACATGGATATAGTAAGGGAATACCAATTGACAAGGAGATGCTGTCAGGAATTTTACATATATTTATAAATATCATTAACAGGCC